ATATTCGCGAAGCAGAGAATATCATCATACCTGTTGCTCTGCCACGCCCTTCCGGCTGACACGGCATGAAAATACTCCGTATTTAACTGCTACATAGCACGGACTACGCGACACTATATCAATTACGGAGTATCAAATTTGATATACAGAGTAGTACATACAAAATAAATAGATAGTATTACGTATTACTCATCTGAAGTTTTTTAATTTTTTATCTCATTTCAATTTTTCTGATATAATATGATCTAAGTTTTTTGGATAATATGTTTTGTTTGTAATATTATGACCATCAAAAGGATTCAAAAACAAACATTTTTTTTGTTTCAATAGTAGGGGTTGATTTTTTTGATGTAACTCGTGTTATTACAAATGTAATTCGTGTTTCCAGTAATGTAACGCACATTGATAAGAAATGTAATTTATGTCAAGTTTAAATGTATGTTATCCAAAATAGAATATAAGAATTAAAACATTGGTTTCCATGTAAATAATGAAAAACAGGAGTTTTGTACCTCTGAATCTATATATTGTATGATTATGAAATACGTACAATATACTTATTTTATGTGGGTTGATAAAAATTTTGTACTTATTTTATGTGGGTTGATAAAAATTTTGTAGTAAGGAAAGAAGTTAATTCAATGGCAATTTAATTACTTAAAGATAATTCAGATGTAGACTTAGGTCGATCGTCTTCACTACTAGGTCGAGATGTAGACTGAGGTCGATCTTCACATACTAATTTGTCGAGATGTAGACTTAGGTCGATCTTCACATATTCTTCCTGAGGTATGGCAATGTTTTTTCTGCTAAGTAGTTTCTAAATAAAAGGAGTAATTCTTGCCAATCCGTGTTAGCGTGTTACCAAATTGGGACAGAGGTATTACGGAGCACTTGAGCGGGCCTTTGAAAACCACCCAGGAATAAAAAGCAAAAAGATGACAGCAATCCGGAAGCAGCAGCTGACTCAAGCTGCAGACCACTTCCAGCAGCTGACTCAAGTTGCAGACCACTTCCAGCAGCGGACTCAAGTTGCAGACCACTTCCAGCAGCTGACTCAAGTTGCAGACCACTTCCAGCAGTTGACTCATCCAGAATAAACCCTACTGACGTTCGAGATGCAAAAAAAAATTCATCAAAAAAATCTATGGGAACCCCAAATGGCGACGGCTGGACAGAGCCTCTAATACAAGTAGGGGTTGTTTTTAATATCATGACCATCAAAAGGATTTAAAAACAAACATTTTTCTGTTTCAATAGTAGGGGTTGATTTTTTGATGTAACTCGTGTTATTACAAATGTAATTCGTGTTTTCAGTAATGTAACTCACAGTGATAAGATACGTAATTTATGTCAAGTTTAAATGTAACTTATCTAAAATAGAATATAAGAATTAAAACATTGGTTTCCGTGTAAATAATGAAAAACAGGAGTTTTTTCCCTCTGAATCTATTGTATGATTATGAAATACGTACAATATACTTATTTTATGTGGGTTGATAAAAATTTTGTAGTAAGGAAAGAAGTTAATTCAGTGGCAATTTAATTACTTAAAGATAATTCAGATGTAGACTTAGGTCGATCGTCTTCACTACTAGGTCGACATGTAGACTGAGGTCGATCTTCACATACTACTTTGTCGAGATGTAGACTTAGGTCGATCTTAACTACTTTGTCAAGATGTAGATTTAGTTCGATCTTCAAAGTAGTCCGTAATTCCGTATATATACCATGCAACCGTTGCATGGCCGGTGAGCACCATACTCGTAGTAGTAAAATTGGCTTGAACAGTACCCTTGCATTTGCCTCTATTTTTTCGTGATCTGAATCCTTTGTTTTGGTATGTAACGCGCGCTATTCTGAAATGTAAGTACTGTGTGTTTAAATGTAATAACTAATTGTGGTGTAACTCACATTATATATGTAAAATGAAAAAACGGTCATTCTCGAGACGTGGCCTTGTCCTCCCCTAATATGAACCACAAAAATTGGCACTTTCCATACGAATTTACAATAAGTAACAATAGCCACCTAAAAGTCTTCACAAACATCTGATTTAGGTATAAAATAACATTCATCATATATTATTGGGCATTTTTCACCGATTTGGTCTCGGTCCGAGGCCTAAATTCTTAATTTAAAAATCGGTCATTCTCGAGGCGGGGCCTTGTCCTCCCCTAATACGAATCACAAAAATTGGTACTTTCCATACGAATTTCCAATAAGTAACAATAGTCTCTTGATTTAGGTATAAAATAACATTCATCATTATTGGGCATCTTTCCCTCGCAAAAAACGTTTCACCAAGATTTCTACAACCTTATATGGAGTATATATTTTCATTTAAAATAATAGAGATTTATTGTTTTAAGTTCGCGCCTTTTGATTGTGTTTGCTACTAGTCCTATAATTTTACTCACACGTAGATATAGTTACGTACCTAATAAATTTGGCAATAATAAGGGCTATGTAATTGTTTATGCAAAATAAAGTACTTTCTGGTGGAAAGATTCTTAATACAGGTAAATTTATTAATTATCATATTAAATCCGCAGGTGAGTAAATTTATAAAACTAAATTTATACTTTTGTTAAACGTAATTAAGAGTTATTAAACTTTCATTAAGGGATAGGAAGGGGGTAAACGTATATTTTTTAAAGTGAAGGGGTCTAAGTGATAATACATAAAACCTGATGGGAGTCAATGATAATTTCCCAAAAATCTAACTAGGGAGGTTAGAAAAACAAACAAACTAACCTCATTACTTTTTTAACTGGGGAGGTTAGTTCGATTATGAAATGTCGAACTCGTTCAAAATGGTCGGAACTGGTCTTGGGCGGACACGACTTTGGCAATTACACCGTATTTAATCTTGAGACGTGACGTTTGCATTATGAGTATATATATTCGCGAAGCAGAGAATATCATCATTCCTGTTGCTCTGCCACGCCCTTATGGCTGACACGGCATGAAAATACTCCGTATTTAACTGCTACGTAGCACGGACTACGCGGCACTATATCAAGTACGAAGTACAAAATAAATACGAGTAGATAGTACGAAGTATTACGTATTACTCATCTGGAGTTTTTTAATTTTTTTTATCTCATTATAATTTTTCTGATATAATATGATCTAGTTTTTTTGTATAATATGTTTTGTTTGTAATATTATGACCATCAAAGGGATTCAAAAACAAACATTTTTTTTGTTTCAATAGTAGGGGTTGATTTTTTTGATGTAACTCGTGTTATTACAAATGTAATTCGTGTTTTCAGTAATGTAACTCATAGTGATAAGATACGTAATTTATGTCAAGTTTAAATGTAACTTATCTAAAATAGAATATAAGAATTAAAACATTGGTTTTCGTGTAAATAATGAAAAACAGGAGTTTTTCCCCTCTGAATCTATTGTATGATTATGAAATACGTACAATATACTTATTTTATGTGGGTTGATAAAAATTTTGTAGTAAGGAAAGAAGTTAATTCAGTGGCAATTTAATTACTTAAAGATAATTCAGATGTAGACTTAGGTCGATCTTAACTACTTTGTCAATACGTATGTTCTATTAAAATATTAAGGTCATAAAGAGTGTTTTTTAAATCACTTGTTTTGTCCTATAAATTTTTTCTTGCCATTTTTTGTTGTTGCAAAAACCTGATTCTTTTCCGTGAATAGCACGGCTTTATGTATAGGAAGATGTAACACACTTATATTAAATAGAAGTATGCTACGAAGTACTTGCTTATAAGAAGATGTGACTACATATGTTATCAAATGTAAACACTGAAAATAAGTAGTCTAATTGCTCAAATTAATTTAAGTAAATAGTTAATACGTACTCCGTAGTATGTTTTTTTAATATAAAGACCACAAATTAAAAATGATTTACACGTAGTACTTTGTATTTAAATGCAGGTAATATTGTTTTTATATGTAATAACTATGAAAATAGTATTAATGTCCTTATATGTCTTTTTACACGCAAACGGCTATTATCAAATTTACAGTTAACTTACCGAACATTTACAAACAACAAGCTAAGTTAATGATCGAACAGAGTAAAGGTCCATTTCGCAATTTTCGCATTTTAAGATCTAGTGAAGGCCACTTAGTTAATGCTCCAAATCACTCTCTTCCATTCTGGTTTATTTCTTCCACAGGTTCATTAGAGATTTAGAGATCTACAAACCAAGGCGTTCCTCGAGCATTCCTTTTGCGCTTTGAAATTATTTTCGAAATTCAGATAAAACTTCCCGCCAAGGTTTTAATGCGCTTCAAATATGCGATTCCAAAACTTGGCTGAAAAGTCCTTGTTGAGTAACCGTATATTAATATAGCACTTTGTCAATTTTTTAATCTGTGTCGTCATTTTTCATAAGGGGCCCCACACCATGGATCGATTTGGCTCTGATAGACTGATACCATGTTAAAACCTGGGGTTCCATCCATAAAGGTCAACTTGATAGCATGACTAACCCGTGTATTAATGTAGCACTTTGTTCATCCAAATGTTTCCGGTTTGGGACATTTAACACCAACCCATTTCCTGGCATTATATGATTGTCAAAATGGACAAAATCCCCACGTTGTGCATGTAATTTCTTCTAACAAAATGAAGCGTTCTTGTTTATCTCCTCGCCATTTCCAGTCTCCAGACATCCTTTTCCACTAAACGTACAGCTGCCTGAACAGCTCTCTGGGAGGCCGGAAGCAGCCTGCTTCGGAATTAATCGTCCAGTCGACTCCGTATCTTTTGTGAGAATCGCTGTTACCTCCAGCTATTCTACAAACGTGATAACTCTTCTCATATCCAACTCTTCTTATGTCAATTGTCAAATACTCCGTAAGATTTTCATATAAGGTGATAACACCATTTCGCCCCACCACCGTCTTGATTTTTACCTCACCAGGGACCATCAAAACTCAATGCTACTGATTAGTGACTTGAGTCACTTGACTAGATGAGTGAAGAAGAGTCAAAATAAGGTTTTCAAGGTATTTGAAGAACTTCAACCCAATACATCATGAATTCATGAGGAAACCATAAGGCCGATAAAAGGTGCAATTACACGGTTACACCTATAATAGTACCAAACCAACAATTAAACTTCAAAAAAAGTCCAACAATGTTTTCATCCGACGAAGTTCGCCCACTTAATGGTTAACCTATATGGGAAAATGTGATCACGTGTTCGAAAATGACCAACATTTGTAGTAATAAACCAAGAAAAAAAATATGGACAAAAATTAACAGGCGGCCAAGACGAGCAATAATTACTCTATGACAACTACACTTCTGTGTTTCTTTTCCAGATCATTCCAATTCTTAGCAGAATCCTTTATAAGCTCATCTTTACAAGTGTTGTTTGAACTGAGTGCCAAATTCAAAGCAAGTTTCATCCGTGTTTTCTCGTCAACCTGGCAATGTGTTGAATGGATATTAAGCATGCACATTAATACGCAGTATTGGTTAATTGAATGAATACATCACAACATTCTACCTGGATCTTGTAGTTGTCTGACCAACGGCATTCCATCATCCATTTTGCAACCCATATGCCACAATCATTCCTATAATAATAAAAAACAATCACATACGTTATTAAGTGATACTCCTAATGAAGCACAAACAATTATCATTGCAATTGAATGGTTTCTCACGAATTTGGACGCTGGCTGCCCAATTCTTCTACATTTACAATGGGATATTCAGAAATAGGTGGTGGTCTACACCGTGTTATTTGCTCTGGAGCCTCCACTATGTGATAGGAAGAATCTGTCAACATTTCTTCCAGGAATAAAGCCTACAAATATACGGAGTACATGTTTAATTAAAATATCAACTTCTTTCATATGACTCGCAAAATGTTTATTAGAGCATTATATTTGTTTACCATCTTTCTCACGATTATTCTTCTACTATCATGATTCACAAAGCCCGGTAGTGAGTCCAAGATTATCAAATGTCCCTTGACCACATCCACAATAACCAAGTACCAGTGACAGTTCAAATAATTCACAGGAAGAAATATCTACATTTTCCAAAAACATGAATAAATACATTATAAATACGTAGTACTACGGAGTAAAATACATTATACTGTCCCACCTATAACCTGGAATTCATACCTTTTTCAAATGATCAAGTTTGCCCATGAAGTCCTTCTGATAGAACCTAATGACTTCGCTGGGAATTCGATTCCCATCAATTGCATAGTGCTAAATATTACGTACAATAGAAAGTTGAATTATTATTAGCCTTATCATAAATAAGCATTTTCAGGAAACGGAGCACAACAGGGACTACATCTTTACCGACAAAGTTGTTGGTAAAAACCAAAACGAGACGTCTGCTGCTTGTTGTATAACGGATCTCTCTTTTGCCGTCAGCAAGGACACAAGTAGGTTCATAACCTGTATATAAGATGAGATGAAAATGCTTGTTAATTATAATGTTAATACAGACCCAACGCACACAAACTATTTACTGATGACGTTATACTAAATGACTAAATCTACAAGAATTCTGGTAAATACAACATAATTGAAATGTTTGCCTGTTGGTCAACACATTTCCCAGGCAACAGCGTTTTCAAATCTTTTCGTCTGCCAAATTGTTTGTTGCTAAAATATACTATGAGCTCCTCCCTGTACAAAATAATACTACGTATTATGTTATCTGATTTCTTATTTTAATTAATGAGTACAGTCTACGGCGTACATATATATTTCAAAATTACTCACTCATCTTCTTGAGCACATTTGTTTAAGCCAAACAAGTATGCAACAACAAAAGCATTGAGCTCATCAAGCACCATGTCATCTGGTGGTGTGAAGCAGACCCGAATCCACTAGAATAAAACAAAGGTACACACTATATTGAGTGATGCCATAAAAAATTAATAGTGCTTGTATTAGTTTGTGCGCCATTACTTTGGCGACTTTACGTTATTGGATGTGTTGCAGAATATCCCGTGAATGTAATAATCCAATACAATGGGATATTCCACGTCTCACGAGTTACCTTTGGTAGACCCACAGATGATTTCATCCCGTTAACATCAGCGTTACTGAAGGGCTCCATCTCACCTAATCTAAGACCCTTCTGTCCGGACATAGACAACGACGGAAACGGGCTCTTTTTCAAACTCTCTTTCCTTATCTGAAAAACGTCTACCACGTCTACCTTTTCAGCTGAGGACCCGTATATATTACGCTTCAGTTTGGAATTAATTTCATCAGTGGGTTTGCTGATGATAGATTGTCGTGGTGTATAACCATGCGTTAGTGCAGGGGGACTTGCGGTCAAATTCTTGTCTTGGCTGATCACCTTCGCGCTTTGCCAAGTTGTCACCATATTTGTCATGTTTTCCACTCCCTCAATTAACATTGCCACAGAAGCTTCTAACCCGGTGACTTTTGCTTCCAACAGACATAATTTTTGTTCTTCCATCGTCTGTTACAATTTACGTACAACATATGTAGTGTGTTCACTTTTTGCAAATTTCAAACATTATAAGGCTACAAAGTTCTCCCAAAATTTCCTTAAAATAACAATTACCTGAGGACTGTTTTGGAATGTTGCGTCAGGTGTCACGGCATTGCAACTGCATGAGCATTGAAACAGAAACATTCTTTCACTTCAAATCCATAAAGAAATATTAACCATGGATAGCAAGGTGGTTTTTTACTATCAAACCTGGAGGATATATCAATCGGCTGCTTCGTCTTTTGAAATTTCTTTCTGGGTGCTCTTGTTTTGGAATTTGGTTTAGGGGGGGTCTTCTTCTTTACGTGAGTGATGTTACTTGGAGACCTTTTCTCGTGGCTATTATTTTTCGCATTACAAACCATGTCTTGTGGAGGAGGTGAAGAGTTCAACGTGGTACGCCGGTAACCAGTCTGTGACTGTGTGACTGTGAAGTTGGGTTGTTTAAATAGAAAATGTGAATGAGTGACTACCTTTGACTATGTTCCACTTGGTTACTTTGACCGAACTAGGTCCAGTTGGATAGGCCATAGTCGACCAAGTTTCTGAAAAAAAAAAAAGAGGCAATAATAGGCCATAGTCGACCAAGTTTCTGAGCACAACCAGGTCCAGTTGGATAGGCCATAGTCGACCAAGTTTCTGGAATATGGAATGTGTTGCAAGGGTGATTTACGTTAATCGGGTAATGATTACAGGTTAATGATTACAGGTAAATACATGGAAATTACTCTAAATATGACTAAAAAGGTTTGTAAATTCTAAACTAGAATTGTAATGTTTTTATTTTCAAAATAGGATTAATTACTGTTATGTTTACTGTTAAGTTTAAACGTGACTGTATTTTCCAAACTTGACAGTAATTACTCTTATTTTGGAAATAAAAATATCACAGTGTTATTTTAATTTGGAATTTTTCAAGTTATTTTTTCCTATTTACAGAATTCTTCCATTCACTTATTACCCTCACACGACTGGTATTCCGCATTTCCGCAGGCACCTCAAATTCTCACCATTGTCATTACATTTCCAGGTCCGTCTTTTTTTTTCTCATCATTCGTCTCCCTAACTAAATCTCACCTATGGAATGAGGTGCCCTCGTAAATTTGGTTTACGTGATAAGTACTTGTATAATACTATGGGAGATTTGACAACGGAAGATATCATGCAGTTGCAATTTAACAGCGAGAACGATGTGTACAATTTCTATCCGAAGAGGGGAGAGTGAGAAGAAGAGAAGAATACTTCTGGAGACAAAAGAATTATGCGCGAGCTTGTGTGCAACAAGCAAGGCTAAAGGGTCAAATAGGAGGATCGGAAGTGGAGGATTTTGGAAGCCTTCCACTACTTATTCGATCTTGGGTCGACTACTCGACTTGGGTCGATCTTCATTCTTCAGGCTTATCAACCAACTTTTTCACCAAACACAAAACTTTTACTTTCGCGAGCTGAAATGTGTAAGTGCATCTTCAATGCTATAATGCGCACGGTGCACATGTGTCAGTAGTGATAGCCACATAAATATTAGCAAATAAATTATCTCTCTCCTTATTTGAATGATTTTATACAATTTTGGTAATTTTTTCCTGCAATGTCAACAGCAATGTCAACATTTGACGGTCTCTTTGACATTGTAAAGAAAAACTTACCAAAACTGTATAAAATCATTTAAATAAAGAGAGAAAAAAAATTAATTAACTGATATTTATGTGGTCATCTCTCATGCCACGTGTGCACCGTGCACATTATAGCATTGGAGATGCTCTAATAAGCAGAAAAGTAATGTTGGAGTTACTTTTCTTGCTGTATTCACTGAAGTTATGTAGATATTCATTTTAACTATTTTTACATCTAATTTTTTCTTTAATTTAATAAGCTATTTTTACATCCTCAAAAAAATCGTGATTCCTGAGGTATTTCACCCCAAAATAAAGTTTAGGACTTGGGGGGCGACCGAATTAGCTATTTCACCCCGTGACGTGCTCGTTTTAAAACGTTCTGTCCTAACTGCTCAGTTATGTTCATTTTATATACTTCGTACAAGCCAACTCACACAGAGGTTACCACGTTGAACTGTGCACCTCCTCCCCTCTAAACGCCATGGTTCGAAATGCGAAAAAAAATTGTACTGCGAAAAAAAATAGTGATGAGAAAAAGACTCCAAGTAACATCACTCACGTAAAGAAGACGACGACAAACCCTAAACCACATGATAAAACAAGAGCACCCAAAAAGAAATGTCAAAAGGGGAAGCAGCTGATTGAAATATCCTCCAGGTTTGATAGTTAAACTACCTTTCTTTCCATGTTTAATGCTTTATTGTTATGGATTTAAAGTGAAAGAATGTTTCTGCATGTTTCCCATTCAGTTGCAATGCCGTGGCACCTGACGCAACATTCCCAAAGAGTCCTCAGGTGGAGTTTTTTTAGTTGTTTTATCCTAAGGATTGAAAATTTGCAAAAAGTGAACACCTTACATATGCTGTACATAAATTGCAACAGACATAACTCCGCAAACAACCCTTTTCTTGCAAAAGTTGACCTTTCCCATTTCCCATTTCCTCATGATTTTCATGTTTCTGTGCAACATAGGTGATAACAAGGCAAAGGGCAAAGATGATCCGAGACAATACTTTGACCGCAAGTCCCCCTGCACTAACGCAGAGTTATACACCACGACAATCTATCATCAGCAAGCCCACTGATGAAATAGTTTCCAATCTGAAACGGAAGATATATGGTTCCGCAGTTGAAAAAGTAGACGTGGAAGTCATTGAACATGTTTTACAAATGAAAAAGAGTTTGAAAAAGAGCCCGTTTTCCTCGTTGTCAATATCCGGACAGAGCTGTCTTGAATTAGGTGAGATGGAGCCTTTCAGTGATGGTAGTAATGTTGACGGGATGAAAACATCTATGGGTATACCAAAGGTAACTCAATCTATAACGCCACTGTCCAAAACGCCTATGCCGGAACATTTTTTAAATTATCACATAACTCATTGAAACTCAGTATAGTGTCTACCCTTGTTTTATTGTAGTGGATTCCGTTATGCTTCACACCACCAGATGACATGGTGTTTGATGAGGTCAATGCTTTTCTTGTTGCATACTTGTTTGGCCTAAACAAATGTGCTGAAGAAGATGAGTGAGTAATTTTCCGATAATTATACTTCCTATATACTATGTAATAGACTAATATATTTAGGAATCTGCCTAATATATACTGTTCTCCTTATTAATTAAAATAAGAGATTAGATAACATAATGTTATTTCGTACAGGGAGGAGATCATTGTTTGTTTAAGCAACAATCAATTTGGAAGACGAAAATACTTGAAAACGCTGTTGCCTGGGAAATTTGTTGACCTACAGGCAAACAATTCAATTTAGTTGTATTTACAAGAATTCTTGTATTGAGTACTCCGTAATCCGTATAATATAATGTCAATAAATTGTTTGTGTGGGTAGGTGTTATCAACATTATAGAAACATTTCCATCTCATGTTGTATACAGGTTATGAACCTACTTGTTTCCTTACAGACGGCAAAAGAGAGATCACTTGTAAAACGAGCAGCAGAAGTATCATTTTGGTTTTTACCAACAACTTTGTCGGTAAAGATGTAGTCCCTATTGTGTACCATTTCCTGCAAATGTTTATTTATGATAAGGTTAATAATTTAACATTTCAATTGTACTCCGTAATACGGAGTATTCAGCAATATGCAATCGATGGGAATGAAGTTCCTAGAGAAGTCCGTACGTTCTATCAGAAGGACTTCATGGGCAAACTTTTCGAGTTGCAAAAGGTACGGAGTATGAATTAAAGATAATACCCTTTCCCACGTAATGTGCAAAAATGATCATATAGCTAGCTGGGACATTATAATGTATTTTGCTTAGTATTTATTCATGTTTTTGGAAACTGTAGATATTTCTTCCTGTGAATTGTTTGAGCTGTCACTGGTACTTGGTTATTGTGGATGTGGTCACGGAAAAATTGATAATCTTGGACTCGCTGCCGGGCTTTGTGGATCATGATCCAATAACAATTGTGAGAAAAATGGTAAACAATATAGTGCTTAAAATAAACGTTTTGTCAGGCAAATGAAGTGGACATTTTAATTAAACAGGCATATTTGCAGGCTGCATTCCTGGAAGAAATGCTGACAGATCCTTTCTATCACCAAGTGGAGGAAACCGAGCTAATAACACGGTGTAGATCACCACCCATTTCTAAATATCCCATTGTAAATGTGAAGGACTTGGGCAGCCAGCGACCAAACTCGTAAGAAAGCATTCAATTGCTTATGGGTACCATTTAATAGGTAGCACGTACCATTTAAGAACGTATTTTATTGTTGTTTATTTTAGCAATGATTGTGGCATATGGGTTGCGAAATGGATGATGGACTGCCGTTGGTCCGACAACTACAAGATTCAGGTTTAATCTTGTGTTATATTCTTGAAATACGTAGTATTTTCCTTAATTTTAATTACGTAGTATTTTATTGAATGAAATTTTTTCCTTAAAAAAGTACACAGAGTATCAATGTACTATCTATATGTTTAACATCCATTTAACACATTGCCAGGTTGACGACCAAACAAGGATAAAACTTGCTTTGAATTTGGCACTCAGTTCGTACAACACTAATAAAGATGAGCTTATGAAGTATTCATCTGAGAATTGGAATGCTATGGAAAAGAAACACAGAAGCGTAGACGTGTAGTTGTCATAGAGTAATTGTTGTTCATCTTGGTCGTTTGTTATTTTTGGTCGACTTGTTTTGGGATTTTATTTCTTGTTTTGTACTGCGTACTAAACCTTGTTAGCTTTCTGTATATTTTCTCTACACGTTCTAGGACGTGCCTTTTTTTTGTGTGTATGTTGTGATGTTTTATGCAGTGTGACATTCCTGAAGATTTTCCTTATTACGGCTACATCATTTAAAGTTTTAAACCGGGTACATACGCTTTATATTGTTTTTTATATTTCTGTTTGATATTCTTACTGCTCACCACTTGCCTCCTTTCTATAAAGGAACTGCTCCTTGTTTTCAATTCTCTTCTTAGGATCAAAACTGATTACTCTTATAATTGCAGGCAACATGTGTGGAGTTCCTTAGCACGTGCTGTGATCTCAAAGGCCGGGTGCTGATCGCCTGATCGTGCATGGTACCTTAACAAATGGTAATGTTGCATTTTGGTAAACTCTTATAGTGATCATATATTCATATGGACAAAAATAAGGTAAAGTAGACTTTACACGTAGAGTTCTGACTGCCACGTGTAATTTTTTGGTCGGAAATTTGAATAAAATCTCAATTTAAAACATTTATGTATAGTTAAGGTACCGTTTTGATTCATTTAAGAGTTAAGGTACCAAAATGCAACATTACGAAGAGTTGAGGTACCATTTATGCATTTAACCTGACCCAGGTTGCACCCTTTTTTAAGCATGGTAGTTGTAGGGTTAGATTGCTCACCATTTCAACATGTAGCGTTGAAGAACCACCACGACAGCACCAGGTGTACGAGATTGCCAGCCAAGCTTGCACACACATTACTGACCATGCTTGACTATTCAACTGCTCTGTAATGTTTATATGGGATTGAAGTGCTTTTAACAAATGAACATTCATGCACTTTGCTGTTTGGTATATCAACAACGTTAAACTGCTATTTTACTAGCTAATTTCCGCTGTTAGACTCCCTTTTGCGAACCCCTTTTTGCTCATGCGAATATTAAGCTGTTCTCTTTTGCTGTTGTTAACTTGTTATTCCATATTTTTTTCATTTCACTTTTGCTTCTTTCACCGATTGATTTTGCCACTCTATTGGGCATTGACCCACGCGCAAGGCGCGAGCCAAAGCTAGTAGCTAGTTCTGTTAGAAATACTCCGTATCATACATGTAGTTCTCGGAATTCATCCCCACAGATATCTGTGGGCAGCCGAAAGAGGTCCAACTCTAGAAACTTTAAGGCAAATATTCCGCAGTCATCTTCTTTTTGTTGCGGTACAATAGCCAGTCAATAGGGCGTCTTAAACCCCAGAGTGGATTGTTCTCGATTGTACATGTGTGGACCAATTTGCCAAAAGTTGCTATTGCAGGGAATACTTTTGTTAATGGTAACATAGCTTCTGAAAATTTTTCATCATTCATAAGTGCCCTGAGAAAGTCAAATGCTACAAGCTCCCCGGACTCAAAGTCCGCTTTCAGGCAAACCCAATGATTCTTTAAAATGTTATGAGGGAAATAAGCATATTTAGCTAATTTAATCTTTTACTTTTTATATCCAACTTTTTTCAAATTTAATTTTTACTCCGTATTGATCAGGTATCATAAAACTTTTAACTTAGTTTCTGAATATGTAAATTTTATTTACTAAAAATAATCTTTAATTAAAGGGATGATTTAACTTCGGTCAGTCAAACATCGTACACTGCGCGCGTGAGAACCTTTAAGTGGGACGGAGGGAGTAATAGATTTAAATGTAATTGTGTGTGTGTAATAATGATATTTTTTGAATAAAAAATAGCTGCAAAACCCCACGCTAGCAAAAAAAATCGCCCTGTTACACTAGCAAAAAAATTGCTTCAGTTCACTAGCTAAAAAGTTTCGACTCGAAATCCTAGATCCGTCCCTGAAGTCTACGTCTGAAAATAGTAGTGAAGATCAACCTAAGTCTACATCTCGAACTAAGTCCAAATTCCAGAGGCAGTTTAATTAAGTGACAAAAACGGTTAAAATAATCACTTAAGTCTTAAGTTAGCTCCAAATATTTTTTTTTTTTTTTTTTGGATGAAGCTCCAAATATTTAATGAGGGCCACTCCATAAGTTTAGATCATCAATCAGTATTTTTAAACTACTCGTATAAAAACTAGATCATCAATCAATCCGTATAAAATACGGAGTAATTACTTAGATCAAGCGGACAAGCGGGGTGGAGGCCACTTATAAGAACTAGTCGTATAAAATAATACTACGTATTCCGTACGTAGTACCTACATACGTAGTACGGAGTATAAATTAAGTATGAGACCAGATAATTCTTTTGTATTCTCTACTTTGGGAAAAAAAACTGGGTATTATATTCAGGAAAGTACATCCGGTTCAAAAAAAAATTCAGGAAAGTACATTCGTTCATTGAAAGGGCTCTATCGATACTGCTGCTACAGTGCTACTGCACGCGAATATAGATTGAAAAAAGGAAAGGGTCACGTCCAAAGATATTAATGATTAATGAGATAGACCAAAGCCGACCATGACCTACCAGTTCGACATACGCCGTGTCAAATACTCCGTAATACCTCTGTCCCAATTTGGTAACACGGATTGGCAAAAATTACTCCTTTTACTTAGAAACTACAATAGTACTTAGGCTCCTTTAGACGTACAAATGTACAATTGACACTCTTTTTAGCTTTTTTAAGCCAAAAAGATGAAAAGCGCTTTTTTTAAGCAACCGCAAACGCTCCTTTAGACGTCGTTATGTTCGTCTTACGTTTATTACTTATTTCTTATTCTTATTTTTTCAGATCGGATCGGATTAGAAAAATTCAGATCAGATCAGATCAAAAGCATACAGATCAAAATGATTCAAGTCAGACCAAAACAAATCAGAAACATTCAGATCAGATCATGAACATTTAGATCAGATCAGAAACATTCAGATTATATAACATCGGTAAAGTTCAAACATTATTTATAATTATAATTATACAAATAAATATTATTATTATAAGTATATATATACTATGTAATATAATTAAAAATGTAATAAAAAAATTTACTCCGTATTATAGATCACACTAGATCAGATCATATCAAAAATACTTAGATCATATTATTATATCAGAAAAATTGAAATGAGATCAAAAATTAAAAAACTTCATATGAGTAATACGTAATACAAGTACTATCTATTTATTTTGTACTCCGTAATATATTTGGGACGGGGACTATATCAAATTTGATACTCCGTAATTGATATAGTGCCGCGTAGTCCGTGCTACGTCGCAGTCAAATACGGAGTATTTTCATGCCGTGTCAGCCGGAAGGGCGTGGCAGAGCAACAGGTATGATGATATTCTCTGCTTCGCGAATATATACTCATAATGCAAACGTGTCCGCCAGAGACCATTTCCGACCATTTCGAACGAGTTCGACATTTCATAATCGAACTAACCTCCCCAGTTAAAAAAGTAATGAGGTTAGTTTGTTTGTTTTTCTAACCTCCCTAGTTAGATTTTTGGGAAATTATCATTGACTCCCATCAGGTTTTATGTATTATCACTTAGACCCC